CTAACTCTAACCATTTCAACCTCTAAATATATTGCGGACATCTTTGAAAACGATAGACCTAGGCCTTCTGAGCATAAACCTACCCTTTTGAAAATTTTCGTGAGGATCGGACGATAATTGCAGTCTGTATATACCCCAACCTGTGTTGCAAGTTGCAAAAATATTACAATTACATACACAATTGAAAAAACCCCATGCGATAAAAAATATGAAAAAATAAAAAAATTGTCATACAATTCTACAAAATCTATATTAACATCATTATTGGCATCTTTTTATGCAATTTTTTTTTAGATTTTATACTTTTATGCCAAGAGGGCATTCTGAATTGACAAAATTTGTCAAAATCGGTCCATCTATTCTTGAGATATAAACATTCTAGATAATATCCCCATCCTTTGTATATATACATTGTATATATTTCACTATATATATTCGAAATATTTACTATCGGAATTGACCTGTTCGTCTATTTGTGTTTTCACCGGGATTAAAAGTATTCGCAATTTAATGGAAAATTTGACTTTTATTTAACACAAATGTTATGGTCTATTTCACGCACTAAATATTACCCGATGACCATCAATATTGGAATGTTTTTGCCCAGCGATTGGTCTATAATTGTGACCTGTAGAGCAACTGCAAAATCAGGAAATTTTTTCCATTTTTGGTCCATTTCAACCCCTAAATTCTGGCCTTAACCCCACCTCCATTCTCCATAATTGCGACATGTAGAGTGATTACAAATTAACATGGACAGACGGACGGACGAACATACATAGCTAGATCGACTCAGTTCGGCGAGATAGGAAGATCCATATATACTTTCCGATGTGAGAAACCAATATTTCGAAGTGTTACATAATTTTTGGCCCAATCAAACTTATAATACCCCCAACACATAGTGTTGTAGGGTATAAAAACGACAAAAACATCACAAAATTTAACAAAAAAATTTCACATTTTAATTGGAATATTTTATGCGATATTTTTTTTAGATATTGTTCTTTTATGTTGACGGGCCATTCTGAATTGGTGAGAATTGTCAAAATAGGACCAGCCGGTTTAGAAATTGATAGGCTTCAACGCAGCCCTAATCTCTATTTTAATCTGGATTTTTTAGTTATTGGTACATTTTACAACCCTTACAATATTGCGACCTCCATGCGAAATTTCATGAAAATCGAGTCATAAATGCGTGATTACAAATTAACAGGGACAGATGGATGGAGGGATATACATAGTTAGATCGACTCGGTTTGGCGAGATATGAAGATCCATATATAACATCCTATGCCCAGTACTAATATTTTAATATTTCAATGAAAGACACAGTGTTTTAGGGTATAAAACCAGTAAAAAATTAGAGTATACAAAACATTGAACCTTCTGTGGAAAAATTGCTCCATGGCTATGGTAATAAAAGAAGTGGACCGATCACATCTTGATATGATCTCGGTAGAAATATTATAATGTCCAAAATTGAGATAAATATTGTTTATTTTCGCACATTACCTATGTCTAATTAAATAAGAAGATTTAGGAAAATTCTCCCAAATCGTATATTATCTACGAGACAATTATTTTATATTTAATATTGGAATTTGCTCCAGTTTTGACTACAGTTATACGATGTTCTAAGTTTAGATGAAATCTATTCATCTCAAAAGTATAGCTCCATTAAAATTCTAGAATTACCACATTCCAGATTTAAACATTTCAAAAAAAAAAAATATATATATATAATTTATTAAATAACTAATTAGAAAAGAATGGGAAAAAATAATAATTATTTCTAATTTCAAATTTAAAAAAAAAATAATAAAAAAAAATCATTATTTCCACACAAAAGTGTTATTTAACTTAACCATAGACACCGTTTATGAAAATGTTACTCTATTGTTTTTTGAGATGATAACACAATATTTAGGGGTTGGAATTTATGAACCAATCGACCCGAAAATTTACATGGAGTTTGAGTTTAGGAGTGGGCAGAAACCTATCAATTTGGGCGGCCATGGGACAATAATTAGCGGCCATGGGATAATAATTAGACCCTAATTTTTATGTAAGAAAATAGGAAAATGTCCGCGAATATTTTCAATCCCAGCCAAATCACAAATACATTAAAATATCACTTCTGACCATTTCAGTGATGCTAATAGCCATGAAATCGGATATATAGCAAAATAGGTACAATATATATGTAAAAGAATTGATCTTATTTATTCTGCTTATAAGTCAAGAACCGCTGGGCTGATTTTCACAATTCCCATCAATTCGGAATGGTCTCTTGTCAGAAAGCGATAAAATCTAAGAAAATCGCGGAAAAATACACCAGTAAAAAAAGTAAATATCTTTTGTCGTTTTTTTTCCATTTCTGTCATATTTTTTATCGCATGAGATTTTTCCAATTTGACTTACAATTTTGAATTGAAAATTTTCTAAATTTTTACACTCCTCAACACTACGTTCTGAGGGTATTATATGTATATTGCAATTATCGTCCAATCCCCACGAAATTGCATGGGGTTGCGTTAGGGTCAGAAGTAAAGCCTATTGTTATTAAGACGTACATTTAGAGGTGCAAATGGACTAAAAAAAATAATTTTTTTTTCGAATTTTGTAGTCGCTCTTTAGGCCACAATTGAAAACAAATCGAATTTCGCTTCAGAAGAGAGTTAAGGACAGGGAAGAATTCTAGCATTTTGGACGACTGTTATATTATATTTAGCTGTAAAATGGACCATAACTTTCGTGTGAAATTGTTTTGAATACTTAACAATACTACTTAACAATACTACGGAGTGCGAAAATATTGGCCAAATTCTCCGGGTCAAAAAACTAAGGGTAACCTCTGGGCGGGGCTATTTGACATTATTTCAAAAACGAAATCTGCCAAAATGGATTTAGATATAAGAAGACTTCGAACATATTGTAGTGTTGTAGGGTATCACATGGTCGGCCCCGCACGACTATAGCCTTTGCTCACTTGTTTAATTTGACTTATAATATTGAAGTGTATATTTTCTAATATTTTTTCACTTTACAACACAGGTTGGGGTTATTATATACAGATTGCAATTATCGTCCGATCCTCGCGAAAATTTTCACAAGGGTAGGGTTAGGCTCAAAAGGGCTAGGCCTATTGTTTTCAAAGATGTCTGCAACATAATTAGGGGTTGAAATGGACCAACAACTAAAAATGCTCCCTATTTTACAGCCATTATAAAGCCCACAAATAGAAACCAAAGGGCACGAAATCTCGCATTAAGTTAGAGTTTAGGACAGCGGGTAGAAGGGACCACTACTTTTGTGTGAAAAAATACCAACATTTCCATTCTACCGAAATGGTGAAAATAACTTACAGGCTATATCCAAAATACACAAAAAAACGAACTTCTGGCTTTTTTATGCTGATTTCGTAGACGAATGTAGCCAAATATCGTAGACAAGCGAATCATATAGATGAGTCTAAATTTGGAGATACAGAGGGGCCTTTGGCTTTTGGAGATGATCGCAAAATATTTAGGGATTCAAATGAACCAAAAACAGAAAAAATGTCCTGATCACACAATTGAAGCCAATCGACACGCCTGAGAAGAGAGTTAAGGACAGGGAAGAATTCTAGCATTTTTGATAATTATTGGATTATATTAACCAATAATATGCATAAATATGCTCCCCCGACTTTGACTTTTCTTAATGGTATTTTGCTGGCGCGGAGAGGTTCTTAGAATAAACATACCTTGTGTCACCGTTATTTATTGACACAGGTTTTTAGGATTTTTTGGTAAAGGCTACAAAAGAAAATAAACGCTAAATCTTAACTATGCGAGACTTATCAGACATTTAAGAGGTCCCCTATAGATGGAAGACCTCTTATATTTTTTATGGATAGAAGACCTTTGAGGAACTCCTATGAAAATGTGAGCCATAAATGGTTTTCTAAAAGTAGATTATATTTTAAAGATTTTCTAAGCAGTTCTAAGCCTCCTATCGGCAGAAAACTAATATTTCAGGACTTCTGCCTATAGAATATCTATTGATCAAGTGGCCAATTAATTATAATCTTAGGATCATTTGAGGGACGCAACAAATTAACGCCTAGCTCACGTCATACCCTGTTGTAATTTTTCAAGGTCGCCAGCCACTCATAAAATATTATGAGCTCATAAAACTGACAAATTTAGTCGCCTATTGGGTGTGTATATGTTGTATTCGTGTTTATGCAATAAACACTTATATAGAAAGTTTCAATTACATAATTTCTTGATTATGGCTCAGGCTTAATACAAAGAGCCGCACAACAACTACAAAATATCGAACATTTAATTGGGTTATTAACCTAAAAGTCCATAAAATGCAAGACAGCTTAAATGCTACACTGCGTTTAATGCGATCGGCCGCGGCTATGACCAATTCTTGTGGTTGGAATGTTGAGAGTTTTGGGCACACCAAACCAAAAAAAAAAAAAAAAAAGACGGGGGGTGGCGATAGGCAGTCACGACTTATTTCACAGTCGCTTTTAGGCAAATTATAGCCGCCACGCACTTAGCAATCGTATTGAAAAATAAACCTCCCCCTCGGGCCCGGGCCACTCTCGCTCACAAATGCCTGTTGTTTTTCCAAACCATGGCAATTGTAAAGTGAGTGCAAAGAAGCTTCATTAGCCAAAAGCTAATCTCGATGGTGTTGCTGGTTGGTAAGAAAGACACACACACCCAAAAAAAAGCTGCCCACCAACCGGCGAAGGCTTACCAAAAATGGTGAACAATTGCCCAAAAAAATGCTGCATTCAGTTGTGGCCACCGAACGAAAGGGAACAAAACGATGGCCACCGAAAGTAAAGGGGAAATATGAATTATGAAAATAAAAATATTAAAAATTATTAGCCACCTTTGAGGAGATATTATGTGACAATACCGGAACGGAGGGGGATTATTTTTTTCGTATAAATTGTTGACAGAAAATTAATTATGCATTAGTTCCACAGCATTTGCATAGACAAACAGTTGTCTTGGGATTTGAACATTTAAATTAAACGAGGATACTTTCCAAAAAACTCAAGCAGGATGATGCATGTTAAATTGGTAGGAAGAAAATTAATTTCATTAAATTAAAAATAATAAAAATAAAATTTAATTAAATAATAATGAAAATCCAATCTCCAATCACCCCCCTTTGCAGACCTTTGTATTGCTGGCTTTGGCTGTGGTCTTGGCTCAGGCCAAACCCTCCTTGCCTTTTGGCTTCCATCACCATGGCGTACCGGATCACATTGATTTTGCTCCACCGGCACATTTGCATCAAGAGGTCTTGTCTGCTCCCACTCACTTCCATCAGGCTCCTCCAGTATTGCCACCAGCCCATTTCCATGAAGTACCTGCTCCAGCCCAATTTCTTCCAGCTCCTGCTCCCCTACTCCCCGCTCCAGCTCCTCTCCTCCCCGCTCCGGCACCTCTTCTCCCTGCCCCAGCTCCCTTGCTACCAGCTGCCCATGCTCACCTTGTGCCCGCACCAACTCAAGTAGTTCACACTCATGTTCTACCCGCCCCAGCTCCCGTTTTACCCGCTCCTGTGCATTTCACCAAGGTGTTGCCACCCGTTTTCGAAGCCATTCCCTTCACCGCCCCAGTTCCCAGCTACCGTGCCATTCCCGGACCCAAGACCACCACTCACCATGTCTCGGTTGGTTATGCCTTCCCTCACGCCCACACCCATGCTCATTTCGCCAAAGCCATAGTTGCTCCCCATCATCATCATCATGCTCATTTGCATGCCGCCCCCTTGGCCCTGGCCCATCATCATCACACCCTTTTCTAAAAGGTTCCCTTTTGTATTACTTATGCCCGTGGGGCATGCAAAAGGTCATTTTTGGACAGTTTTACGAAAATGTGTTGTTACAAGATGGCCGGCCCAAAGCTAAGTTTCGGTGGTAATGTTTTTAAATTTGTATACCAAAGAAATTGAAATGTTTTGTTATTTTTTTTTTATTTTATATAATATTTATTATTTATTTAACAAAGGGTAATATTTTTTATTTTATTGAACATTAGTTAATAAACACAACCAAAGATTAAATAATTTATAAATTATAAAAGAGTTTTTTTTAATAAAAAAGCGACTTGTTGGGGAATGACAATGACAAAACTCAAACGAAACTAATGAAGGATGTGGAACTGCGATAATTGGAAATTCTGTGATCATGTCATAAATTTTGAAATAAAACCACAATTTAGGATTTTTAAAGAAAACGGTACAGAGAGGTATTCCGAAAATCAGGAATTCTGAAATTAATATTAACTAAATACCAAGTCATGATTAGTACTCAAAACTCAAAATTTGTCCATTATTTCTTGAATAAAATTTTCAAACAAAACTTCATGCATCGTTCTAACTTTTCAGCTGCACCAGATCCATAACACTTTATTCATATGCGAATTTTTACCCTGTCAAAAATTTTAACTGAAAAATAGTTACTTTTTGCAAAATGGTTACTTTTGCACAGGGAGAGACGAAAAAACTGCAACCAATTTCAGACTGCTGTCATTAATGAGCCACTCGTCCGACAGCTGTTAAAATTATTCCAGTGAAAGCTAATTATATAATTTACAAGCGTACAAAAACATTTTGATAAGAATTTTCCAGAAAAAAAGGTATTCGTGATGGGATTCAACCGCGATAGCGTGATTTATTTATATTTGGCTGGAAAACCACAAGTGGATATCGTTAGAGCACTGCAGCATTTAAATGAGAACAAATCTTTTGTGTCTCGTACCATCGCTCGTTACCGTGATACTGGTAGCGTAGCCCGACGTCAAGGAAGTGGACGGAAGAAAACAGCAACATCAGCAGAAATGGTTCGAAAAGTAAAGAAGCGACGTGATCGAAACCCGTGTCGCAGTGGCCGAAAAATGGCTCGTGAGCTGAACATATCGCAATATTTCATTCAGCAAATATTGAAAAATGAGATCGAGGTAAAGCCATTGAAATTCCAAAATGTGAAATAACTAACACCGCAACAGAAAGAAAGTAGATTAAAAAGAGCTAAAAAGTTGCTTCGCTTGGCCGAAAGTGTTGAGCTGCCGAATTTGGTTTTCTCCGTTTCCGATGAGAAAACATTCGCTGTCCAGCAGTTTGTAAACAAAGAAAAATGTTTACTTGCCAAAGAGGTCAGCTGAAAATGTGCACCTTCGGTTGGCCACCAGAACTCAAATCATGGTGATGGTGTGGGCCGCCATAACAGCCGATGGTAGTGTATTAAAGCCTTGGGCACGCAATCATTTTGTCCGCAGACCTTGGACATTCCAACATAACTCAGCACCATCGCACTCAGCCCAAGAATAATTACATGATGAAGTCCCTCGCTTCATTTCCAGCGCACAATGGCCACCTAAATCTCCAATCCGTTGGACTGTTGTGTCTGGAGTATTTTGGAAAGCAAGGTTGGCACTAAAAATACCAAAGTGTCGATCATCTCAAGCAAACGCTTCGCCAAAGTACCGCAGAGCAACATTCGAACAGCGTGTGACGATTTCATTGACCGTTTAAAGGCCATAATTCGTGTCAAAGGTGAGCAATTCGAACAAATCTAAACTTATTTTAAAATTTGATGCAATTTCCGACAGTTTTGTGCTTTGATTCAATAAAATTATAAAACAAGTAAAAAAACATTAAGTTCGGCCGGGCCAAACTTTTAATACCCTCCACCCTCCTTTCCTGGGCAGGAGTGTATCAAGTCAAAATATTCTACAGAATCATTCTACTATGGGTTCTGGAAAACGTCAAAAGTATAAATTTTCATAAACGCCAGGAATTCTTATTTGCATTAATTTTCCTAAAAAAATATTTCCTAGTTTTTTGATCAATTTTTCATCGCCCTTTTTGAATTGACGTCTGAAGGAAACATAAAATTTCGCTTTAGGCAGAATGTGTCAGCAGAAGAAATATTTTACTCAAATTTCGGAATAAATCATATATCTAGAAAAAAATTTTTGAAGCTAATTACATTCGAAATGTTTGTTGTGCAAGTGGAAATTATTTCTTTCCTTTTTATATCCAAAGCCAAATGGCTGGTGAGCACGATAACTCTCGAATGAAGTATCTGATGTGGTTCAAACGTCACATACATCGGAATACTGTTATCTAGTTTAGATCGAGTTCGGAGATGCGTAATATCAGACCACTTCTTTTGGCACCTTCCACACAAAAGGTCAACATTTTCACAGAAAATAATTTTCAGTATAAAACAAGAAATTATCATCCAACATTGTTCAAATGTTACAAATCCAAATATTTGTATCAGAGCTATGTCAGGTTCGAAAATGAACAATATCGACCCACTACATCATGTGCCTCACCCACAAAGAGTCAAAATTTTGAATAATTATAAATTTATAAAATACGCTCCATCTGGTACTATCCCCACAAAGGGTCAACATTTTGAATAACCATGAAGCTTATATTTTGCGAGGCCGCTCTGCATCTACAAATTTAGACCCATATATATGATTTGCTTGACTACGACATTTGGCTATATCCATCAACGAAATCGGCATAAAAAAGCCAGAAGTTCGCCTTTTGGTTATTACGGATATCGCTTGTAAGTAATATTGGTATTTTTTGCACACAAAAGTTGTGGTCCATTCTACCCGCTGTCCTAAACTTTAACTTCATGCGAGATTTCATGTCCTTTTGTTTCTATTTGCGACCTTATAACGGCTGCAAAACCAGGAACATTTTTGGTGGTTGGTCCACCCCTAAATATATTGCGGTCATCTTTGAAAACAATAGCTCTTCTGAGCCGTAGGGTTAGGCTCATTTGTGAAAATTTTCGTGAAGATTGGACGATAATTGCTATCCGTATACAATAACCCCAACCCGCGTTGTAAGCTAAAAAAATATTGTCAAATTGTCAAAGTCATATTGAAAAAATCGCATGCGATAAAAAATATGAAAAAAAAAATGTCACAAAATACTACAAAATCTATAATAACACCATCATTAGCACATTTTTTATGCGATTTTTTCAGATTTTATTCTCTTATGATAAGAAGGCATTCTGAATTGACAAAATTTGTCAAAATCGGTCCAGCCATTCTTACGATACATGCATTCTGACTAACATCCCCTTCCATTGTATATTTACATTGTATATATTTCCCGATATATATCAGATATATTTACTATCGGCATCTACGAAACGGTCAGAATTGACCTTTTCATCTATTTGTGATTTCGCCGGGATTAAAAATATTCGCGGTTTAATGAAAAATTTGAGTTTTATTTAACAGAAATGTTATGGTCTATTTCACCCACTAAATATTACCCGATGACCATCAAAATTGGAAGGCTTCTGCCCAGCCCTAAGCTCTAGCCCCATGCTAACTTTCGCTTCGATTGGTCTATAATTGTGACCTGTAGAACAACTGCAAAATCAGGAAATTTTTCAGTTTTTGGTCCATTTCAACCCCTAAATATTATGCGATCATCTCCAAAAGAAATAGGGTTCTATTCTGACCTTAACCCTACCTATATTTTAAATTTCGTGAAGATCGGGTCATAATTGCGACCTGTAGAGTGATTACAAATTAACATGGACAGACGGACGGACACACATAGCTAGATCGACTCAGCTCGGCGAGATAGGAAGATCCATATATACTTTCCTATGTGGGAAATCAATATTTCGAGGTGTTACATAATTTTTGGCCCAATCAAACTTATAATACCCCCAACACATAGTGTTGTAGGGTATAAAAACGTCGATACACGTATCTTTTTTAAAAGCTCCACTTTCATAATTCACTGGATTTTTTCCGAAATGATGTTTTGTGTTGCACTGTGTAATTGCTCACCAACAGCACCTTCAATTGGCAGTCATTAAAGACATGAGTTTGAGTTTTGGCCCTACATCCACGATAACATCGTTTTTAGATTTTCCTATCTCGCCGAGCTTAGTCGATCAAGCTGTGGTTCGCAATTATACCCGATCCTCACGAAATATGGCATTAGAGTCAAAATATAAGCCATTGGAGATGATCGCAAAATATTTAGATGGTTAAATGGACCAAGAATTTTCCTAATTTTGCAGTTGTGCGGAAGTCTAGACCAAAAACTGAAATTATCTGATTATGCTGTCTCTGTACTAGTCACCTATCGACAGGGAACTTCACATAAGGTTAGAATTTTGGACAAGATGGAAGCCTAGATTTTTGCCTAACCGCTTAGAGCTCTGTGTAAAATGGATTCAAGAGTTGTGTCAATCTAGTTCATAGTTCAGTACACTAGTTCCTATACGTATGAGTGATTTCATAAATTTCATATGTTGCACATCACTCATACGTTGAGTTTTCATAGAAAATTATTCTGCATCATCATAAGGCGGCAATGAAATATTCCCTTTATTTCCCCAAAAACCCGAGCAAGGAGTAAGTTTTATACCACATCTAATATCCATTCATTTGTTAGCATAAAATTCGGGCACATTTTTTTATTTCTTTCAAATGATATTGACCTAAAACTCGTGCAATGTGACACTTTGCGATCGATTGAAATACAATAAATCTTATTTCGGATATCAACTTATTTCCGAAACAGATCACGAAGTCATATTAAAATCCCATCATTTTACACTTTAAAATGGTTGCATCTTAATTTGTAGGCCTAACGTTGAGAAATAAATCACAAATATTTTATGCGATTCAAACAATCACTTTTTATTGTAAAATTTACATTTATTTATTTGAAAACAAACGACACTACAACTGTCTAAAGCACTGAATTGTCTACGAAGCGTGTTTTGTTAATGCAAAAAGATTTGAACTCACAAATCATTCCGTTTTATATCAAGTAACGCACTTTTTCACTTGTCCCAAGTGATTTGACAAAACATCGAAAAAAAAGACTCTTTTTCTGAGAGCAAGAATTGCTATCGTCTCACAACCTGGATGTATGTCGATCGGTAGGTCGGTTGGTTGGCTGATTGATTGTTTGCCAATTGCACGCAACATTTGAAAAATGAAAATAAAACGCATACCGGCCACGGACCAAATACCAATACGAATATATTTTGTCCAAATAAATCCGAAAGTGACCAATCGATAATTGTGAATTCAAACTAACACATCATACATACGAAATGCTACTTAACGGTGGCAGTGGTGTCCCAATGTCTGTCGCTGTGATGTTGGTTATTATGATAATGTATGCCATTGCAATGGATTAGTGATTGAAAGTGGTACGAAAAAGAGTGTTACACTAAGGAGGCCTAATAAAGTTGATAGGCTATTTTTGTTTAACGTTATCCCATTAATATTGTCTTTATTGCTGCTAATAAATTTATGGAATTTTATGCTAGATTATATGATTTAAATTTCATTCAGAGTATATCTCTGTTGGTCTGCCAGACAGTTAAAAAAATCCACGAATATACCTAAAACAGTCCTTTGAAAATATTTTTAAAAGATTTTGGGGTAGATCTTTTTTAGACAGTGAAAATTATTCTTAAAAAAAAAAAACAATGATTATAGCTGTGAAAGTCTTTCTTTAAAAAGTAGACAAAATAAACCAGTATAATTGTCATATTCAAATAGATAATCATGAATTTATAAATAAATGTTTTAATAAATAATTGTTTCAAGGACCAATAGACAAATAATCACGGATTTATGTTAATTCATAGCCAGACCAATTATCGCTGTTTTTTTCTATATATTTTCTCAAGGACCAACAAATCTACAAAAGTGAATTTCTAAAATAATAAAATATCTTGGATTTTGAGTAATTTTTTTATGGAGTAACTGACGAAAAATAATGTATATTATTCCAAAATGTTTTCTTTAAGGTCCAAGAGTCCAGTTATATTGGATCTTTTTTAAAGTATTTTTTCCAAGACATTCCGTCAAACTTTTAAAACTCTCGAATTGTTTTAAAATGTTTTCCAGATGTTAGTATTTGCACCCTGTTTTCGGGAAAGTATTCCTTTTTTTTGAGACGGTCCCGGATACCCTCATATATGACCCGAAATCCGGGTCCATGACCCGTGTTAGATCTGGAAATATTAATTCTTTTGAAAGCTAATGAAAATACCTATCCAACAAGGTCCAACTATAACATTTAAAAGACCAAGTGTCCAATTATCTTGGTTTTTTATACCCTCCACCATAGTATCGAGGGTACACCAAGTTTGTCATTCCGTTTGTAACACCTCGAAACATACATAAGTATTGATCAGCAAAAAATTCTATGTCGATTTAGCGATCTCCGTCAGTCTGTCCGCCTGTGGAAATCACTATGGCTTCCGTAGCTTAATAAAATTTTACTGTCATATTTTTATTATGTCTGCAGGACTTTTGGTATTGAAAATGGGCCATGTAGGTCCACGTTTTGGTATAGCCCCCATATAACGGCACCTCCCGATATTAGGAAGTATGATGATTTTAGCGACATTATTCACTGGAGTTGTTTCAAATTTTGTAATTGAAGTCCGTAATGGATACTAAAGCCTAGAACAGAAAATTATCTGTGCAGATCCACGTTTTCGTGTAGCTCCCATATCTCCCGAATATGATTTTAGCGACATTATTCACCGGAATTGTTTCATATTTGGTATTTGAAGTTCGTAATGGATACTCCATTCTATGCCAGAAAATTGTCTGTGCAGGTCCACGTTTTGATATATCCTCCATATAATGATACGCCCCTATATTCGGTATTTTGATGATTTTTGCGACATTATTCACCGGGATTGTTTCAAATTTCGTATTTGAAGTTCGTAATGGATACTCCATCCTATGCCAGAAAATTGTCTGTGCAGGTCCACGTTTTGGTATACCCCCCATACATTATTCACTGATTTTTTTCAAGTTTCTCATTTGTGTATTGTAATGGCTTAGAACAAAAGCAAAATTTTTAACGCGTTTTTTTTTTTTTTTTTTGAAAATTGCCAAATTTGTTCCAAATGGTAGATGGTATTCAGTATTGAGGGCCGAACTTACAGTATTTTTACTTGTTTATAATATTTTTAAGGACTTTCAGTCAAATCATTGTTTATTTTTAAATGATCATTCAAAATACTTTAAATAACTTTAAGTCTAAAAATCGACGAGTTTCTAAGAATATTTTTTCGGGGGCTTGAAGTTAAGTATTCAAAAGTTAAAAAATCCAAAAACTAATAATCGTGGATTTTTTTGTTTTTTTTTTAATATTTTTTAAATAGTAGCATATTTTTTCAAATATTTTTTAATGACTTCAAGTCAAAGACTTTCTTTTATATAGAAGTGGAATTATTGAAATTATTTTTTTAAGGATTATGGTGGTTTTTTAAAAAAATGTTTACCAGGACCTAAAGTTAAAAAATTTAAAAATATTTTTCTCAGGACATATATTTTTTATAATTATATTTTCGAGGATTTTAAGTTAAATGATCGTGGATTTTAAGTATTTTTTTAAGGACGTTAAGCCAAATAATCGACAGTTTGTCAAATAATCGTAGATTTTTTTAAAATATATTTTCACTGACTTAAGAAAAACTTTTTTTTATGGAACTCCAAGTCAAATATTCCCAGATTTTTCAAAAATTATTTTATAAGGATTTTAAAAAAGTAATTAATTTCAGGTACTTTTTTGTCAACAAATTATGGATTTTTTTTTTGCTTTTTAGTAATTTTCGTTTCAAAGACGTTTAGCCAAAGAATCGATTATTATTTTTTTAAAAAAGAAATTCAAGCATTTTAAGTAAAATGATCTTGGATTTTTTAATATTTGTTGAAGATTTTTAAGTCAAATAATCGTAGATTTTTTTTAAATATGTTTTCACGGACTTTAAGAAACCTTTTTTTTAAATATTTTTTAAGGAACCCTAAGACAAATAGTAAATTTTTAAATATTTTTTAAGTTTTTAAGTCATATAATCGCAGATGTTTTTTAAATATATTTTCACCGACTCTAAGAAAACTTTAAGGAACTCTAAGACAAATAATCGTGGATTTTTCAATTTTTCAGGAATATTTTTAAAAGAAATGTCAGCTACATTCCTTTGTCAAATATTTGTGGATTTTTTAAAAATACTTTTCAGGATTTAAGAAAAATGTATTTCTTTTAAATATTAATGGATTCATTTTCAAATATTTGCCTTGAAGTCAAATTATTGCGGATTTTTTATAAAGATATTTATACCACGAGTTTCCTGATAATAATTGTAGATTCATTAGGAATATTTTTTTATTTTTTTAATTTTTTGTTATTCCCCGTCCAATAATTTTGATTTTTTTAAATATAATTTTCAAGCAGTTTGAGACAAATAATCATGAACTTTTTAAAAACATATATATTTATTTAAGACTCTAAGTGAAATACTCATGGATTTTTTAAACGCATTTTTTCAATATTTTAAATTCATAGCCCTTTTACATTGATCTAATGGTGGTACCCACTTTAATGTACATGTGCTATTATGAAATTAAATTTAGTTCATAAAATATGCCGTCGCTGTGCGTGTTGAGGCAGGTTATGAGTGTTTTAATGAAAACTTGATTTTGTTGTTATTGTAAATTAACCGAAATTTCATTAAAAAAAAAAAAAACAAAAATATTGCTGGTAATTGAATGGAGCGGGTGTTAATGGGTCATATCGTGGCGAATGTGTTACAATGTTTTTTCAAAACTATTTTTAACATATTACTGGGTTTATTAATAAATCGAGCCCGGGCAACTGGAAAATGCAGAAGTCAGATAAATAAATTAGTATGCAAAGAAAGTCGCCAGTTGAAATGTGTAGGTGTGCGTGTGAATTGTTGATAATATCTCTCAATTGGTCTTAACGCAATTTCAGTTGATTGAACCAATTGAACTCTTATTTGGATTTATCGAGGTTTTCAGTTTTTTTTATAAAAACTACAATTGTCTGTAATATTTTCATCATACCTTGTTTGGATTTTCAACTCAACACAACCATTTCCCCCATTTTTTGGAAATCACATTTCCCTAACCCTTCATTTTTTCATTTACTAACCAAAGACCCACTGAAATGGCTGCTAAATTTGTGGTGAGTGGATTATTTGAGTTTCAATTTTTTGAAAAAGCAAATAATGTTTATTATAATTTTTTAAAACCTTGTTCAGATCCTTGCCATCTTGGCTTTGTGTGCCTCCGCCCAGGCTGGTATCACCACCTTTGCTTCCACATTCAATGCCCATAGCATCAACCATGCCGTGGCCTATCCAGCTGCAACCCCTGCTGCCACTGCCGTTGCAACATCGGCTGTTGCTGCCGCTCCTGCTCCAGCTCCCGCACCTGCTGCCCCTGCCCAAGCACCCAAAGTTGAATTTGCTGCCCCTACACCAGCTACAGCTGCTGCTGCTGCTCCTGCCAATACGGTGCCAGCACCCAATAAAGTTGGTTTTGCTGCCGGTGCCACTATTCCATATGGCACTCCTTTCTATGGCCAATCATTTGCTGCTGCTCCAGCCGTAGCTCCATTCCCACAATTTGTTGCCCCAGTAAATGCTTATCCAGCTCCCTATTTACCAGCTGCTGCTGTTGCACCCGCTCCAGCTACCCTACCATTTGCTGCTCCCGGTAAATACGGTTTCCCAGCTGTACCCGCTGCTCCCGTTGCTCCTGCTGCTGCAGCTTTGCCAGCCTACAACTATGCCTATGGCCCCGCTGCCTTTGCTGCTCCCGGTAAATTTGCCTTCCCTGCCTCAGCCTATGGTCTGAACTATGCCATTCCAGCCGCCAAATTGCCCAACCCCTATTTTGCCTAAATTGAATTAAAATCTCATTCTAACCTCACATCTCTTTTAAATTAATACCCCATTAATTATTTAATTGTGATTCATCAATTTATAAGAACAACAACAAAAAATATAATTTAATTTATTGATAATTGTAATTATTATTAGCTGCTGTTTTTTTTTTTTTTTTTGTGTTAATTACTTCCAGCCACTGCAAGACAAGTTTCATTTTTTTTAATTCAGATTTTATGTTGCCTGTTCAAATCAAATCTGTAGGCCAAGTTCAAGTTTATTTTGATTCTGCTTTGTTGTTGTTGGTATTTTATAAGTTTCTGTTTCTCGCTGTTATTGTTGTTGTTGTTGCTTGCCATTGCTATGCAAATATTGAGCGTTGAACTTTGCTTTTGTATCCACTTCTTGACGACCGACCGGCTTATTTTAGACAAGCGACCAATATTGGCCGCAGTATTATTATTATTATTGTTGTTGCTGGCGCTTATTTTTTTCAATATTTCATGGCCTTTGGCTATTTGGTATCCACTTGTCCGGTTTCATTCGCCACTTTACTTTTATCTCAATTATTGACATTTATTTCAACAAATCAATTGACAGAAATTTGCAATTTATTTCGTTATTTGTCGATAACTCTTTTGACGGCAAGGAATTCATTTAGATGTCATTTCGAAATGACATCATTCCCAGCCGAAGTATGGAGGTAAGCATAAATCAATGCGGAATTTAATTTTTTTTTTTCTAATGCGCTAATCGAAATTTAAAAAAATGTTAGCAATAATGTGTTGGGTGTATGCAATGGCTTATTAGACATACATATTTCAATTTAATTGTATCGACTGTTGAATGAATAAGAGGGTACTTAAATATGCCACATTAAAATAACGCCGGTAAATTCCAAAATTAGTTTTGAGTGAAATCCGTTTCAGGATATCTTGAAATGGAATGAAATGTGTACATTAATCCAATAACATTGCTGACAGGTGAGCACATGGTAGAATAAAAAGGAAGGGTAGAGCTATGAGCTGATTACAATTTTTTTCTGAGTGTGTCCGACTTTTGCCAATTTTTTGTATATATTTATTGTTTTGAAAAATTAAAACAAAATATTTTCAAAATCAATGATTGGAAGAAACGTAGATTGTTGGGCGCGAAGATATTAACCATTTTAGCCATGTAATTGAAAGATTGGACACTCTGGATCATATTTTTGAAATAAAATCCAGACACTTAATTCATCTTTCGCTTTATTTAAGTCATTTAAAAAATGAGGAAAAATGTGAAATAATTGAAAACAACTTGTTGCATATAATTTTGAATAATTCTGACAGGAAGCGGGCATAGCCTCAGAGTTGTGTTTCTAAATTTTTTCGAAGCTGTTCTACCTCCTTATTGTGCAATGTAATCTGCTAAAAAAAACAAGTTTTTGTTTACAGTGATGATCACGGATAAAGAAGATTGGAACATAACGAAATTGTAAGTTTTTAAGATAAAACCAGTAAAGAAAGTCTTAAAGTCTGGCGGGGCCTACTTTATGATATCCTACACCACTTTACTTTAAAGTTCAAAGGACTAAATATGCCGAAGCATTTGTATCTTTACAATTCGGACTTGTATTGCCCATTTGGTGCACAATTAATTTGAAATCGGATAAAAATATATATGGGAGCTATATCCATATCGGAACCGATCTCGATAAAATTTGGCAAAGATATTTCTGAGCTGTATTTGATATATTTCCCTTAATATCGTTGTTACTGAGTGCATATTACGGCTGTGGGTAAAAAATATAACAAGTCGGATGAACAATATATTTGGGAGCTATAGCTATATCTGAACCGATCTTCAACAAATTTGACATACTAGCTCAATTCGGTCGTAAGTGCCAAATTCCATCCCATTTGGACAAGTATTAGACGTTTGGTGCACAATAAAAAGAAAATCGGACGAAGTTATATATGCACTGATCTCGATAAAATTCAGCAAAGGTATTACTGAGCTGTATTTGATATATTTCCCCAAATATTGTTGTTACAGAGTGCATATTACGGCTGTGGGTAAAAAATATAACAAGTCGGATGAACAATATATATGGGAGCTATAGCTATATCTGAACCGATCTTCACCAAATTCGATATACTACCTTCTAGGCTCAATTTGGTCGTAAGTGCCAAATTCCATCCCATTTGGACAAATATTAGACGTTTGGTGCACAATAAGAAGTAAATCGGACGAAGTTATATATGGGAGCTATATCCAAATCTGAATCGATCTCGATAAAATTTAGCAAAGGTATTTCTGAGCTGCATTTGATATATTTCCCCAAATATTGTTGTTACAGTGTGCATATTACGGCTGCGGAGGATAAAAATAACAAATCGGATGAACCATACATATGGGATCTATATATATATATATATATATATATATATATATATATATATATATATATATATATATATATATATATATATATATATATATATATATATATATATATATATATATATATATATATATATATATATATATATATATATATATATATATATCTGAACCGATTTCGATCAAATTTGCCATACTTCTTTTCAGGCCTAATTAGATTGTATGTGCAAAATTCCATACTATTCCGGCTGATATTACGTGTTTGGTGCACAATAAAAGGCAAATCGGACGAAGATATATATGAGAGCAATATCTAAATTTTGACCGATTATCTCCAATTTCAATAGGGTTCGTCCTTGGGCCAAACAAATGATTTGTGCAAAATTTCATCTGGATTGGGCAATAAATGCGAACTGTACTTTGTTTTCAAAAATAAATGGACAGACGGACGGATGGACATGCATAAATCGACTCAGAATGTGATTCTATGCAGATCATCAAAAGCAACTATGGGTCTATCCGGTTTCCTTTTGCCTGGTACAGCAAATGCACAAAGACATAATAGCCTGAACACCTTGTGGTGTAGGGTATAAATAGTGTCACATTCAATAAAACACCTGGCCAACCTTTGTATATCCACTACCTTTTGGAACGATTTTGGCAATTTTGAAAAAAGTGAAATCCGTTAAAATCTTAAAAAACCGAATGTAGTCATTATCGGGAGGTACCGTTATATGGGGGCTACACCAATACCAAATTTGAAACAATTCCAGTGAATAATGTATCTAAAACCATCAAAATACCGTATATCGGGAAGAACCGTTATATGGGGGCTATACGAAGCCGTAGACCTGCACAAACAATTTTCTTTCATAGGCTAAATTATCCATTACGATTGGCTGTAATATTCATTGCGAACTTTAAATACCAAATTTGAAACAATTCCAATGTAATGTAGCTAAAATCATCAAATACCGAATATCGGGTGGTACCGTTTTAAGGGGGCTATACGAAGACCTGGGCCTGCACAGACAAATTTCTGTCTTAGGCTGTAGAATCCATTTCCAACTTCGATTAATTTGAAACGATTCCGGTGAATAATGACGCTAAAATCATCAAAATACCGAATATCGGGTGGGGCCGTTATCTGGGGGCTATACGAAACCGTAGACCTGTACAGACAATTTTCTGTCTAAGGCTGTAGAATCCATTTCCAACTTCGACTGACAAATTTGAAGCAATTCCGATGAATAATGGCGGTAAAATCATCAAAATACCGAATATCGGGTGGTGCCGTTATATAGGGGCTATACAAAGGAGTGGACCTACATGGCCTATTTTCAATACCAAAAGTCCTACGGGCATCATATACATTTGAGTAAAATATTATCAACCTATTTCTTTTCGTTCGGAAGTTCAGTGATTTCCACAGACCGACAGAAGGACGGACATCGCTAAATCGACATAGAATTTTATGCTGATCAAGAATATTTCGAGGTGTTACAATCGGAATGACAAACTTAATATACCCTCCATACTATGGTGGAGGGTATAAAAATACCAAATATAGCCGTTATGTTGGGGTCTATACGAAGACAAATTTTGCCATAAGTCATTACAATATTCGAAAACGAAACGTGAAAAAATACAGTGAATAATGTAACTAAAATCATAAAAATGCCGAATATAGGGAGGTACTGAAAATGTACGAAGGCCTGGATTTGCATTGACAATTTTTTGTCAAAGACTGTAGTTCCCATTACGAACTCTAAATGCGAAATTTGAAACAACTCCGGTGAAGAATGTCACTAAAAAATATCGAGGATCGGAGGGTACAGTTGTATGTGGGATATACGATATTGTAGAACTCACAAGGAGCTCCTTGTGTAGAATTTCAGACAATTCCATTGTGAAAATGTGACTAAAATCATCAAAATACCGAATATCGGGGGTGCCGTTACATGGGTGCTATACGATATCGTGCACCTTCGAACTTGACCTGCTTATCTTAAGTCGTTTTGACTGTAGAGTGATTACTACAGACGGGTAGGGCTTAGTCGTCTTAGAATTTTACACGGATCAAGAATATATATACTTTGTTGGGTCTAATATTATTTCGAGTTACAAACGGAATGCCGAACTTAATATACCCTCCATACTACAGGGTTCGACGGACCCATCTGGCAACGCCATAACTTTTGACAGAGATGTCACATCGCTTAACGACATACCGCGTTTGAAGCGTCAGTCCAAGCAGATTTTTACCATGAACCAAGAAACGCCACGCGAGCTCTCTGAAATAGTTGAAATTTACATTCATTAGAAGAAGTTAATTGTGAAAAAAAAAATGTGAGAAGTGCGCCTTCCAAGAACACCATTAAGCGTCTATACGAAAAATTTTCGTATTTCTCTTTCTAATCCGAAGAGGCCATATAAAAGTCGACCAAGGCGATCGGCCGAGAATATCGCTGCCGTACGAGCCAGTGTTGGGAGGTCCCCAAGAACATCCCAAAAACGCCGTTCTCAGCAGTTGGGCATGGCTCGGTCCACTTTAGAACGGATTATTCGCAATGATTTCCATTTGTTCCCGTACAAAATTCAATTGACGCAAAGAATGTTGCCTGCGGACAACTCTCGTCGATTGGAATGGGCCCAAAGGTCCGTCGAATATGGGCAACCCTGTACGTAACGGTCAGAATTGACCTGTTCGTCTATTTGTAATATCGCCGGAAATGGAAAAATTGACTTTTGTTTAACACAA